GGTCGTATATAATAAAACTTACACTGTACTATCTGTAGTTTAGATTGCAAAAAAAAAAAAAAGATTTAAATAACATCTACAGGAGAGTATTTTGGGCAACAAGACCGAAAGCATCAACAATTTGGGAGATTAGATTGCGAAACACTTTGGAGTCCCAGAATATGTCCACCTTGGATTTCCATGATCACGAGGAATAAAAGAATGAATAGAGGATTACAAAAAAAACAAGAATGACAAATATAAAACGGCGAGGGGGTTCTTTGTATTTATMTACTGCCTATATTGTGTAAAGAAATTATATTTACTGAGGAATATGTTCAACGGTGAGGGGACTTTTTGTTTCCATGATCACTAGGAATATGTTCAGCTTTGTATTTATTTGAAATATGTTTTTATTGCAATGGAACCTTTTTTTATTTTATTGCGTGACAGATTAAAAATTTGTGAATCTGTGATTAATTAATAAATACAACTTTGGTTTTATGCACTACTATGCATGTTTATTGATTTTGTCTTTATTAATCCTGACGCCATTTGCATTTGCTGTGGAGGGACCACAGTTATGGGCTGTTGGATGGCAAACAGCAATATCTCAAATTGGACCTCATTTCGTTTGGTAATTAGATTCTCTTATAGCATTCACATACTTCAAGAAGTTTTGAACAAATGATCTAATTTATTTATATTCTCTCCATATTTGATATTCCACGTGATAATATACGAGTTATATTACTGAAAAACATATTAAGTAATAAACATGGATTTTTCTAAAATAAGTTTGAAAAGGAAATAAGAGTTTCTAATTATGCAACTTTAATTTAGAAAGCTTCTGTACTACATGTCTAAAATAAGTTTCTGTGCTTAATTATTCTTGCATTTCATGAACATAATTATTCCAAAATAAGGGTTTCTAAAATAAGTTTTTGTGCTTAATTATTATTCTTGCATTTCATGAACTTATAGCTATCCAATGGAAACCATTAGTTTGTATTGTGTTTTGTTTACTGAAATTTGAAATTATATGAATTATAGGTGGGTTGCAGCATAAAGTATATTCTACCATCTCTATAACCAGGTGTGTTACATGTCTTATTGTTTAGATATATACTTAGATTTAGGGCATGCGCAAACCAGTGGTAGACAGATCAATCAAGAAAATGATTGGATTTTATTTCGAAGTAGGTGGCTTGTAGTGATAAAAACTGACAAAATGGTAATCTACCATGTAGAATATTATATCTACTCCGTTGTATTGACATCTCTTGCTTCTTTCCCCTGTAGATATGGTTAAATGCAAGGCAACAAGAGGTAGATGTTCGCAGGAAAGGTTTCTAAAAAACAACCCACTCAAGACAAAACTCAGGTGGCGAAAAAGAACGTAATATGTGATGCACTTATTATATTTGGAATATGAACTCAGGATGTTTAGTATATGATGCAGGCATGTGATAGACTTGA